AGTAGTCTAGGAGTACATATTGGGTCACACCCTCTGCACACTCTCACTAAAAGGACATACTACCAGAGTCTCGTCGGGATAGCTAAGTCGCGCAAGATACATACCATGCACACAATAGGCGAGACCGAGACTTACAAATTGAGTTATCCCCAAGGACTAATCCCCAAAGCCTTTACACTAGGGAACCTTCTCTGACGGTGTATTCCATATTGTACCCTTAAAAACATTTATGCACATGATGCACGTCAATCAAGACTCCATGGCTTTCTCATATAACATTTTCATATCTCATTCCCATATCATATTATCATGTCTCATCATCATGTCTTATCACCATAACACATCATTATATCACATTACCATGTCTTATTATCATATCACATCATCATGTCACATCACCATATCACATCACATTATCATATTATCACATCATATTCACAATTTTCACAGAGCACTTTAATTCATATAAAAACTCATCTATTTGCGAAATGAAACACATATTTACACTCCGCAAACATCAAAGAACACAACAGAAAACTCAGGGGATAAAACACAAAACATTCATATTTTGTCCGTTTTCTCATAGGGTTTCCCGTAGGAACTCACAGAACACTCTAATTCATATAAAAACATATTCATTTTCAAAATTAACCACATACTCATGCATCACATCCAACAAGGAACACAACAAAGCAATCAGAAGGCAAACCAGAAAACGTTCATATTTTATCCATTTTCTCGTAGGGTTCCCGTAGCAACCCACAAAAATCTCAAATCATACAATTACAATTTTAAAACTGAAATTAATCATTCATTCAAGCAATTTATACAATTAATTACACACAAGAGGAACAATAGATGAAACAGATACAATTGGAGAAAATCCCTCATTCATGAGCATACAACAAAGACATGATTGGAGGCCAATCCCACTACCCAACATACATTCCCACACCTAGAGTAAGGTTTCTCACTCCCCCTTACCTGAATGAGCAGAAGATGAATGGTATTGGTGTGATCTAAGATTGTTCCTGAGTACTTTTCCTTAGAGCTCTTTGTTTCTCCTCTTTTTTTTTTCCTAACCCTTCAAAACGCAAATGAGGCAGATATATACTTGAATAACATTTTTTTCTCCAATTTCCTCAACAAAACTATTGAAAAGTTCAAACACCTTCTCAGAAGTATCCACACTCTTCACAAACATTGTTCCCATTGAACTCTTTACCAAAAAGTTAATCAAAGTTCTATTTTTCCTATTTGTCCAATCATCAGACATAATTGAGCACCCATATTTTACTCTCTCCTCTTCATGGCCCTTCAATAAGCCCTTTGGCGTCGCTGTCTGGCCAGTCGAAGGGGGCCCCCAAAACCCAATATCTCGCCCAGCGTTTTGTAAAGGGTTCCTCCCAGGTGCGGTTGGACCATGTGAGCGCTTCGGAGGACATAGACTCTTTATGGAGTGCGGGTGTAACCTCTGAGAAGTTCTTTTCCAGGAGTTCGCTGAGCACGACTGATCAAGCCATGATCAAGTCGGCCAGGCTGGTGGGAGGTCTTGATTCTGCTGAGGTCTTCCTGCAGAGGACGATGGCCATCGTGGATCATTGGAAACACAAGTGGGTCAAGCAGCAAGAAGACTTGGCGAAGCTTAAAGGGCGAGTCCAACCCTTGAAGGAAGAAAACAGGGCATTGGTGGCTGCTCTCGGCGACGCCAAGATGCAGAATGAGGCCGAGCTTCAGGCTACCAGGAAGGAGCTGGAGAGAGTCCAGAAGTCCTTAGAGATTGCTTTGAGGTCTAATGAGACTTACGTTGCTCAGGTTCGTGAGTTGTAGGAACTCGCCAGCTCTTCCCGAGCTCGGGTGCGCGCCTTGGAGGACGAGGTCACCTCGCAGAAGGCTGAATTGGTGGCAGCGGCCGAGAAACGTCTTTGCGACGAGGTCCTTCTCGGTGGGAAAGAAGAGGAGGTTGTCGCTTTGAAGGTGGACCTCGCGAAGCTGGAGGTGGCGAAGGTGGGGCTGGAGAAGAAGCTTGAGGAAACTGAGCGGGCTGTCGTGTTTGAGCACAAGAGAGGATTCCTCAAGGCAGCTCGCTAGGCGAGGCTATACTCGCACCGGGGTTCGACCTCTCTGCCATGCATGTGGAGAAGGAGGTACACTTTGGGAAGCTGGTGAAGGAGGACGACCTCGAGGAAAGCTCAAGTGAAAACGCCTCCGCCTAGGCTGCTTTTGTAATATCTTAGTTTAGTTTTTTTTCTTCTTTGAATTCGTGTATTGAACTCGTGAAATTGTTGTATATATATCATTTTTTTCGAGATTTCGATAGTTCTTCTATTTTTGAACTTGTGTGTTTTGCGCTTGTGCATTTTGCGCTTTTCTGGGGCTCAAACTTAGCCTGATGTGAATAATTTGTCCTGAGGTTCGAACTCGACCTTTAGCTTAGAATGAAATAAATCGTACCAAGGTTCGGACTCGACCTCAGCGTAAAGCGGAATAAATTGTACCAAGGTTCGAACTCGACCTTGGCTTTAGAGTGAAATAGATCGTGCCAAGGTTCGAACTCGACCTCGGCTTAGAGTGGATAAGTCCTACTAAGGTTCAAACTCGACCTCGATTTGATGTAAGGTAACTCTTACTAAGGTTCGAACTCGACCTCGATTTGACGTAAGGTAACTCTTACTAAGGTTCGAACTCGACCTCGGGTTTAAGCGAAACGTATTAAGGTTCGAACTCGACCTTGTCTAAGAGCGAGATACGTCAGCGTAAAGTGAAGTAGATCATGCTAAGGTTCGGATTCGACCTCGAATTCAGCATAAACCATCTTATGGTAAAATAATGTAAAATTAAGAAAGTATGAATGGAAAAGAATGAGTTATTTTATTGATTGCATATATGTGCCTCGTTAAAAACCCTCTCAACCAAAACCCATTTTTCTGTTTTTTTGGACAAAAAGCTGAGGCGGGAAAAGAGTGCACAGCTCATTCTTACAAGTTCAGCTGAAATAGAATTTAAGATGTGTGGCATTCCAAGTCCGCGGAATGACTTTGCCGCTGAGTTCTTCTAGCCTGTATGCCCCATTTTCTAGGTCTTCTACAACTCAGAATGGGCCCAGTTGGGTGCAAGCTTTCCGTCTGATGCGTCTTTCCGTGCTTCGCCTAACAGTCGCCATACCAAGTCGCTAAGCAGAGTACGAAGCACTTATAGCAGGGCTAAGGTTAGCCCACGATCTCGGAGCGCGAAGGGTGAGTTGCAACAGCGACTCAAAGCTCATGGTGGAACAACTCAATGGAACGTATCAGACCAAAGACACCCTCCTGCAGAGGTATTTTCATCTAGCCACCCAGCAAATCTCCTCTTTTGACGAGTTCACAATCCACCATGTACCCCGCAAGCAAAATGCAAGAGCCGACCTCCTATCCAAGCTTGCCAGCACAAAGCGTCCCGGGCAACACCGGACTATCATACAAGAGACCTTACATTCACCCAGTTTGGATGACAAGGTCGTCAACACCAGCGACGGAGGAGAGCAAGGATGGATGACAGACATTTGGAATTACTTGAAAGAAGGAATCTTGCCCGAGGACAAGGATGAAGCTCGGAAGGTGAGAGTCAGGTCAGCCAAGTTCGTAATTGTCAGAGACGAGCTGTTTAAACGCGGCCTCTCCACCCCTTTGCTCAAATGTCTAACTGCACCTCAAGCCGCATATGTCATCAAGGAGATCCATCGAGGTATATGTGGCATGCATTCTGGGGCACGCTCGATGGTGACCAGGGTACTCTGAGCTGGATACTACTGGCCCACTTTGAAGTCGGATTGCCAAGCCTACGTGCAAAAATGCAAAGAGTGCCAGCAGTTCGGTAATACGCATAGACAGCCACCCGAAGCCCTCCACAAGATGATGTCGCCATGGCCTTTCGCCTAGTGGGGAATGGACATCCTAGGACCGTTCCCCCCTGTAAAAGGTCAGCTCAAATTCCTCCTGTTGGCAATTGAATACTTCACCAAGTGGATCAAAGCATGCCCACTAGCCAAGATCACCATTAAGAACGTGCAGAAGTTCACCTGGAAGAACATCGTATGCAGGTTCGGAATCCCCCATTCCCTTGTAACTGATAACGGCCGAAAATTCATTGCGCAGAGCTTCGAAGACTTCCTCCATTTTTCCGTAGATAATCTTGATTTTTCTTGTAGTGTATATATGAGAGAGAGATAGGGGTTCATTTACAAGTGTAAGTATACCTAACCTTACTTCACTCAATAACTAATGTTTTACATCAAATTTCAATCCAATTGTTAAATCAAAAGCTCTTAATGTATAGATAAAGTCTGCAAAGTTTTAAAAAATTTGAAAATTATTTGATACTTTGTTTCATTAATTCAAATCAACCTATAAAATGTTTTTATGATTATTCGTCAATTTGAATTAATGAAAGAGAGTATCAAATAATTTTCAAATATTTTAAAAACTTTGCAAACTTAATTTATATATTAAGAATTTTGAATTTAATAGTTGGATAGTTAAAATTTGATATAGAACATGAGTTATTGAGTGAAATAAGTCTAGATAGACTTATTCTTGGAATAAGTGGATCCCCCTCATATATATATATATATATATATATATATATATATAAACATAATATCAAATAGTTATGAAAATTTTAAAACTTTGTAGACTTGATTTATATATTAATAACTTAATTTAACAGTTGGATAGTTAAAATTTGATATAGAATGAGTTATTAAGTGGAATAAGTATAGGTAGATTTACTCTTGAAGTAAATGGATTCCCTTCTCTCTCTCTCTCTCTCACACACACACATACAAACACACACATATATGTTGTCGCATGTATATTCAGGTATTGCTTGCATGCTAATGCTAGTTGATTAGATTTATAATTTTTGTTGCTATAGTTGTTGAGATGTACAGTGTTAGGACCTGTTAGGTCGTTACAACTGCTCCACTCCCCATTCTTCCTTTTATTTCATTCTCCTAGATTGCATATCCTCATCTCCCTTTCTTTGATTTTGTCTTTCAATTATCATATCAACCTCCTCCTTTATTTCTTTCTCCCCCTCCCTTCTTTGCCACTCCCCTCTTATTGCTTCGCCACTACTAATGCTTAACTTCACCTCACCCAATCAAGTCCAGTATTAGATAGAAGGTCTTTCACATTTAAGGAGGAGCATCCACGTGTTTTTGCAGAGGAGCTTCTATGGAGGATCATCGCCCATCCGTTGTTTTGCTCTACCCTTCCTCCTCCCCCTTTGTTACTCTGTGTCACCTCTCCCTCTCCTACCCCCTCTCTACTTCTTTACTTTGCTTTGCTCCTCTCCCTCTATTACTTTGTTCTACTCTATCTTTCCCCCTTTATTGGTGGGGCTTCTATAACAAATCAAAGAACGTCTCATCCATTGAACTCAATAAGTTCAAGAATCTTTGTTTAACTTTTTCAATATAATAATCAGTTGATTATGGATTGTAAATGAAAGAGTTCAACTTTTATCGATTTCAAAAATTCAAACCCAAATCCATTTATAATCAATCACTGCCTAGGCTTACAAAGTACTTAAGACACTACTACAAATTGATCCATCTAAGTCGCTCAATCTAAGTAAACAATGTAGAATAAGACGTGGTGGAAATTTTGTAAATAAAGCAAACGTAGTCTACGATGGTTCACATTATAACTGTAGTAGAACTAAATATCCCTTGTGATCTATGACGTTTTTTCTGTAAAACTGACTTAGATAAGAACCCCAAATTTATCCAGCCGCGCGGGTTCTCTCTCACCATTCGCGCCCTTCCCTTCCCACCCACAACCTTGCTCTGTTCTCTCTCTTGGTTCATCTTCCACCCACAGCTCTACTCGTGTTCCCTCTCAGTTCATCCGTGCGCCGTTCACTCTCCCACCGGCAGCCCTTAGCGACAACCCTCGTGACGTGTCACCTCCTAGGTTGTGCTCTAAATGTCATGCTCTGAATGTTCTCACTGATGTTGCGTTCATTTTTTCCCCTAATCTCTCAACCTTCTCATTGAAAAGCAAAGGAAGTTTCATCAGTCACGTAAGTCCTAATATTCATCAGTCACGGCTTGAGTTCATTTATTCTCATATTTTCCCTTCATAAACTACAGGTGGTGGTTTGATTAGGAATAACATTGGCTGCCAAGTCCATTAACCCAGCTAAGGTGGTCATGATGAAACAAATTTTGGAATCGGATTGCTGAAAGAAGTTGCACAACATGTGATTGCAGCATGAGGTTGGTCTTTTCCAAAGTTGAACCACAAGTTCCTTTAAATTTAGATTGAAATATTTAGCTACTTCAAGGGTCTAATTGTTGATCCTCTTATTGCAATGTTTGCACCATGTGTGAAGTTGCTGAACCGAATTGTTGAAACTAAGCAAGCAGCAGGATGCAACTGAATCTAGGATAAAAAAACCCAGATGGCAACATCAACAAATACAAGGCTTGACTAGCAACAAAAGGCTTTCACCAACAGCCCAAGTTTGACTCCACTGAAACTTTCTCTTTGGTTGTCTAACTTATGATAGTTTAACCTCAACTTGGCACTTTATCATCAAAGAAGGAATGTAAAATATTGAATATGACCCAACTATACTCAACCAAGAAAATAAAATGTTTGCATCAACCTAATTGCACAAGAACATTCATATAACTTCATTCAGTAAATAAGCAAATGGAACTCTAGTTAAATCACAGCAAAAACATACTTTGATCAGGGTAGTCAAAATACTCCGATTGATGGGATATAACAACATTTTTTGTGCGAATATCTCTAATATGAAAGAATAATATAAAATAATTTAAGGCCAAAGTAATTAACACCTAATACAAAATTTTATATTCAGATTATCACATACATGCCCAATAAAATGACAAATACTAGTTGAGCATCACAGTCGTCCATGACTAAATTATTTTGAGAAAGACTAGCAACAATACATATGTGTAACCAGCTGACACATACAGGCAGATTGCCAGATTAGTGATGAAGTCTGCATGAAATTATTTTGAGAATCACAAATTTTATTTAATAAAACTGTTCTTTATAGATACTAGATTGGCCTCTCTTGGTTTCCAAGTATATTGCTTCTTTAGTATATGATATATATATATATATATATATATATATATATATTATAATGATAATGATGTAATTGAGTCATTCATATAATGATAAGGATCCCATATTGACCTCTCTTGGTTTCTTTTATATTGGATAATTGAATCAATTTTTACAGGTTATTTATAATTGAATCAGTTTTATTTTAAAAATTAACCTGGTTATAAAAAATAAAATCTACAACGGTTTTACATAAAAATTGACTTGGATGTACACATACATCTAAAACGATTTTGTGAAAACTGACTTAGACGTATGTGTACATCTAAGTCGGTTTTCAAACCGACTTAGATGTATAAATATATTTAAGTCGATTTTTACGTAACCGACGTAGATATGTTCATTCATCTACGTCACCTTATCTAAGTCGGTTTTAGAACCAATATAAAATGGCAAAATAACTAACTTAGAATACAATCCTTCTAGTAATGAGAAGAATACTTGAAAAAATAGAAGATAATGAGAAAATATCTCTTATTATTTATATTTTTTATTGTTAAAATATTTTTTTTGAAAATAACTGTCAAAACATAATAGATATTTTATATGAGAAATTCATTGTTGAATAACGTAAAATAATTTTTAAAACGAAAAAAAAATGAGAAGAAAAATAAACAAGTTCTATGTATTTCACATATTACATGTATAATTGATTATAAATTCAAATAAAATTAAAATAAAGAATTAAAAATTATATAATGAAATAATTAAGCATATAATTATATATTACAAACACAATTAATGAATAATTTATGTACCAAAAAAATATTATGTATAAAAAAAGTAATGAGTAATTAATTTAAAATAGATAAATTTCACATTGATATGTAAGAATGAAATGTATAGGAATAGATCAAAGTACTGGTGCAACTATAACTTATTTGGTCTTAGTCAAAAAAAAAAAAAAAAAAAAAGAAAGAAAACTTATTTGGTCAATAGATAACTGCTATGATACTGCAGAATATGCAGATCCATACCACCATACTCTAACTTATTTTTAATTACTTTTAGCAAGACCAAAAAAGACATCCATACCGTGGTTGGCCTACCTAAAAGAATTAATGCAAGAAATTAAATATTAGAAATTTAAAATTAAAAAAATCACACACAAAAATAAATTTAGATTTACCATTAACTATAAACAAAAGGGAAAATTACACGAAGAATAATTTGTTATATAGACCATTCAAACTTATAAAGGAGATAGGTCAAGTGTTCATATCAATTGTGTTTTATATATTTATAAGATTATGCAAAAGCCAAAGAACAAAACATAAATAACTTATAAATATATTCCCTCCAACTATATGTTAAGACTTTGTGCTTTTTTTAATTATAGATTCATTTACGTAACTTGTACCCTAACGTGCACTGGTCACCTGTTGTTATTGTTTTGTCTACCTACACCAACAGAAACCTCATCACGTGACCACTTAATTAAATAATTAGCTAAACTTTGCTTCCAATAGATTCCTATTCTTTCTTGTGTTTTGTTTTATATTCGAAAAAAAAAGAACATAATTGATCGTATCCCATTGAATTCGCTCGATGAGTTCATGTTGCATGTCCCTTTCGTAATTAATTATGTTAGGTTGTTAAAGTTAATTTGGTAATATCCTTCTGCAACAGCCATTTTGATCATAATCTCCATTCTCCAATAAGATTCAACAATTCTTAATGATTCGATATTATCTCGGTATCGATCACAAGGAACATTCTATCATCCGAAGTAAACAAAACTAAAGAAAAAGAAAAAATAATAAAATCTTAGATATGATGCTCACGGCAAAGGATTAAGAAAGCAAGGAAATGTTCTTGATTTTTATAGACTAAAAACCTACTTTGGTCCTTTATAATAATTGTTTATTTCAATTTAGTCCCACTTTTATTTTTTGTTTCAATTTTGTCCCAAATAAATTAATTGGTTTCAATTTGGTCCCTAATAAATTAATTGGTTTCAATTTGGGACTTTCGTCCAAATTATTTAAACGGAGTTAACTGTTGGTCACGTGGATGTCACGTAGATGCATAGGTGAATGCCACGTGGATACCAATTTTTTTGAAAACACCTGGAACCAGAACGGCCCGTTCTGGTTGCACTTTTGGTGTGTTAATTTTGCATCCGGAACGACCCGTTCCAGGTGCAAAATTAACACACTAAAAGTGAAACCAGAAAGGCCCGTTCTGGTTTCAGAACGGGCCGTTCTGGTTTCAGAACGGGCCATTCTGGTTCCAGACTGCTACACATAAACGATCAATGATTATAGTTCACGGTTGTGAATCATGGAAGGAAAAAGACATAAGCTACAAAGCATTTCAAACACTGAATTTGGTAATATTGTCAATGGAAATTGATAATTTCAATTGCTAAACAGTTAGGCTATACAGTGTATTATTAAAGACAATGCAATGTATCACTAAAGACAATGGTAGTAGATTTTATTTCATTTCAAACTGGAGTGAACCACTTACTACCAATAAAGGATGAAATGACATGGTATTTTTTCTTGAAGTCATTAACGATGTACTCCAACAACAACAACCTGTTCTTGAAGAGGTAGAACCTGAAGTAAAGGAAGAGATTTCACCACACAACCATATGCAGGGACAGATCTACGTTAATCATAATGGGGCACTTGCCCCCACTAAAATTTTTTTCATTCTTTTTTTATATATATTATTAATTATATTTTAATTATGTTTTTATATCTAATATAATAAATATATTAATATTTTTTTATATTTTATTTTATTCTTTAATTGTTTTTTATTTTGTGGTAAAATTATCTTCATTTTTAATGAAGAAAAAATTTACTTACTTCAAGAGTAATTTTTGATAGATTTATTCTATTTAATAATTAATGTTCTATATCAAAATTTTAAGAATTTAATTGTTAAATTAAAAAGTTTTTTATGTATAGATCAAATTTATAAAAAAATTTAAAAAAATTACAAATCATATGATATTTCGTTAAATTAATTCAAATTAATATATAAAATATTTTTGTTTTAAATGAATGTAAAAATTTAGAGGACACTAAAAGAAATTAAATTAATAATTTTATTATGTTTATCCAATTAATTTTTATCATTTTATTCCTCTAATTTTAAATAAGTTACAAAAAATTATAAAGTGACACTTAAATATTTCTTCAGACAGAAAGAGGAAAAAAAAAGTTATTACTCTATTTATAAGACAATTGTATTTTATAAAAATAAGTAATTTTAAAATTTTTATCATAAAAAAATATTTTTCAAAATTATTATATTTTTAATAAAATTAATAAAGAATATTCTATTCTCAGTTTTGGAACGGGTCGTTCTGAATCCAGAACGACCCGTTCTGAAATCAGAACAGGCCATTCTGGTTTCAGAATGAACCGTTCTGCTGTACTCTTGGTGTGTTAATTTTGCATCTGGAACGTCCCATTTTAGATGCAAAATTAACACACAAAGAGTGCATCCAGAACGGCCCGTTCTGGTTTCAGAACGGGTCGTTCTAGTTTCAGGTGTTTTCAAAAAAATTGGCATCTACGTGGCATCCACCTATGCATCTACGTGGCATCCACGTGGCTAACAGTTAACTCCGTTTAAATAATTTGGACGGAAGTCCCAAATTGAAACCAATTAATTTATTTGGGACCAAATTGAAACCAAAAATAAAAGTGGGACTAAATTGAAACAAACAATTATTATAAGGGACCAAAATAGATTTTTAACCATTTATATATATATATATGTGTGTGTACATAATGTATTAAATAATCCAAATACATAATCAACATATTAAAATTCATTTGATGAATAGAATAAAGATGGACGATCAATCATGGATCCAAAAACCTTAGATAATGTGGGTAATATTTATTTATATATTTATAATATTAAAAATTTTATATATAACTTCTAAAAGTATAAATATATATCATAACTATTTTTTACAAGCTTTTTATATCTACGATTATAATTAAAAATAAAAATAAATTAGGTCAAACTAGATTATATTATAATTTAGTAAGTTTAAACTTAACTTTTTAAAAAAAATATATATATCCTAAGTTTGACTTATTTATCTATTATAAATATTTTTTAAATGTTTGGTTAGAATTATAACCCTAAAGACCTATTTTATAATAATTTAACACTAATAAACACATAAAAATAAATATGTTAAAATTTATAGAAATCAAGTTTAATTTATTTATGATATAAATATTTTTTTAATATTTAATATAAATTTTTAGATGATAATATATTTTAAAATATATTTTATAATAAAAATTCTAAATAGAACATAGATATTTGAATATTTCTTATTTTGATTTTTTTAATCAACATATACAATCTTACTATTTTGATTTTGTTAATCAACGTATACAATAAATAGAAAGCACAAAAGGTTTAAATATGCAAGCTGCAAATTTTATTTTATCAAAAATTATTTTTTTTAATATATTACATTATATATGTGAGCATTAATATATATATTATAATCAAACTTTTTAAAAAAATTAATTTATTATTAAGGAGTATTCTTTATCACATATGATAATTAATTTCCTTAGAAAGTTTAACAGATATCAAATAAATGAATATCTCCTCTGAATTTATATTTTATATATATGATAATTTAAATATATATGTTTATTTTATTAGAATATAACTTTTATTTTTTAAAATATATTATTTTTTGGATAAAAAAAATATGTATGTATCAAATGGTAGTGGGGGCAAGTGCCCCCACTACCCTCGTGTAGATCTGTCAATGGATACGATATTATAAGATAGGATAATAGCTA